CTAGAGTAGTACCTGTAAGGGCCTACTTATAAAAATAAATATTTCAATTTGTGTCACCGTTCATAGGCCGCCATCTTATGACAATACTTATCAACTACCCTCGAAGAAACAAAAGTGACAACATCAAAAACAATAAGAGTAGTGACTAGTGGCACATGAACACATGAAGTCGATCCTGAGTTCAAAACTTCACAGATCCATGATAACCGTGATAGCTGTACTGAAGAAAATTAGCAATGAATAATGAAGCCACTTGTCTGTACGGGTGTAAACACTTAGTCTGACAACTGGGCACAACTTTTTGCTATTATTATTACAAAAATATGAAAGCCACTTGTCTGTACGGGAGTTAAAACTCAGTCTGACAACTGGGCTCAACTTTTTGCAATTATTATTACAAAGATATGAAAGCCACTTATCTGTACGGGTGTAAACACTCAGTCTGACAACTGGGCTTAATTTTTTGCTATTATCATTACAATTATAAGCAAGCCACTTGTCTGGACGAGTGTAAACAACTGTCTGACAACTGGGCCAACATTTCTATTAAGTTTTTCTTTAATAATAGAATTATAACATTATTTCTGTTACAGATTAGGATATTCGCATGCTCAGAGCACGAGCAGCTCATCAGGATAGCCGTGATAGCGCAAACTCAATACAATGACTATTTTCATTGTTAATTGATTAATTTAATTATATTCGACCTGTATTGATCAAATCACTGTTATTTAATATTTAACATAATGAAGTATTAAAGTTAAGGATTATTATAAATATTGTAAATAGCGCCATCTAGTACTTATAGACCGAACTAAGTTGTTTGTCATAAGATAATCGTTACGCCTGCTTCTCTCCCTACTACACTGAATTCGGTCTATAAATACGGAGGTCGGTAATTGAATAACTCTCTTTCTGTGTGTAACCGTTGCACCGAATACATCTCTGGAATTTGATAAAAGTGTTTATTATTTAATTATCGTAACGATGAGTTATCTGGTATCAATCCCCGCTCTAACATATATATATATATATATATATATATATATATATATTATTTTTATATACATACTAGGTGACCCGACAAACGTTGTTTTGCCATAAAAATTTAAATTGCTATAATATAGCTGATGATAGTAGGTGAAATTTTATTGTATATTTTTAATGCCAAATAAAATATGTAAGTGTTAAGAGTGGCTCGGCTATTTTTTTTTTGCAATATATATATGTTTGAAAAAAAATAGCCGAGCCACTCTTAACACTTAAGGATATAAAAAATAGTTATAAATTCTCAGACCCATTAAATATACATATAAAATTTCATCAATCGGTCAAGCCGTTTCGGAGGAGTATAAACACGAAACTTGGGACACGAAAATTTTTTATAGTACTCGCTACTCGCCCCGGCGAGTAAGCCGAGGAACCTTCGAGGAAGCCGAACGGAGGTTGCAAGGTGCTCTCCAAAGTTTAGACAAATATTATGACGACAATTCTCTCAGACCCAATCCGTCTAAAACGCAGTCCTGCGCTTTCCATCTGCGGAACCGACAAGCGAACCGTAAGCTGAGCATCTCATGGCGAGGCATACCGATTGAACACTCTCCTAACCCTAGGTACCTGGGTGTTACCCTAGATAGGTCCCTCACCTACAAAGCTCATTGCCTCAACACAAAAAAAAAGATAGGAACACGGAACAATCTACTGCGGTGTTTAACATCCACGTCCTGGGGCGCGGCGCCGCATGTCCTACGTGTGTCTGGCCTGGCATTGGCTTTCTCCGTGGGTGAATATGCATGTCCAGTGTGGCATCGGTCCACCCACGCGAAAGAGGTCGACATTGCTCTCAATGAGACATGTCGTATTATAACGGGCTGCCTCAAACCAACACCCCTAAATATGCTGTATCCACTCACAGGAATTGCTCCACCAGATGTTCGACGACAGGTGTTGTGCGAGATGGAAAAAAGGAGACAAGAAACCGATTCCCGCCACCCACTTCATAACCACACTATTCCCGATGTCCGCTTAAAAAGCAGGAAGAGTTTTTTAAGAGGGACAAGTGCCTTGACCAACGATTCACATAAAGCCAAAGTAAACTTATGGAAGTTGAATCATCCTGCTCCTTTGGACTTTATTCAACCAATCGAACACCTGCCCCCAGGTAGCGACCTGCAATGGCCCATTTGGAAATCGCTCAACAGACTACGAACCCAGATGGGCCGCTGCAGGTACAACTTGGTAAAGTGGGGTGCCGCTTCAAGGGAGGCTTGTGACTGCGGAGCGCCATCCCAGACCATGGCACACCTGCTGGCTTGTCCTTTGTGCCCAGCAGTCTGCACAAGGGAGGACCTAAGGGATGCGACGGAGTGCGCAAGGGTTGTCGCGGCGTTCTGGGGAAAATATATTTAAATATATGTATTTGGTTGCCGTTAAAACGAAGAAGAAGAAGAAGACTCGCCCCGGCTTCGCACGGGTATACATATATTATATTGTTAGCTTCAATAGATAAAGAACACTCAGTTGACTAATTTGTTACTTACGTTTCAAATTTAAAACCATAGCGAGTCACGTGATGTTGGTGACGTCACGATTATGCCGCCACCAATAGTAATAGAGATAAAGAGGCCGGAAACAAGGAGGGAGCGGGCTGCTCTCACTCTGTTCGAGGCGACCGAGACGACCACACGTGAATGTACAGCGACGCAATTTATGTGGAGTGTAGAGTGAGTTTGAAAAAGGAATAAAATAAAAGTACTGCTACATCGACATATCATTTCTGAAACTTCCCAATAATATATATAAACCTTCCTCTTGAATCACTCTATCTATTAAAAAAATCGCTTCAAAATCCTTTGCGTAGTTTTAAAGATTTAAGCATACATAGTGACAGACAGCGACAGCGACTTTGTTTTATTCTATATATGTAATACTTAATGATGATGCTATATGTTCAAAAACCTCTTTTAAAAGTTACCGTAAACATTGTATTTAACATATCGGTACAGCTATATGTGAACCCATGAAAGCTTTTTAGTTCATGTACCTCGGAGCGATGTTCAGTTCAGCTTACTATTTTTCAGTTGAGTGCGCATCGCGCTTTCCACTTTGCTTATATTTATTTTATTATTACGCACATGTACGTTTGGTGGAATAAATATGTTACTATTTATACAAGAACCAGCTTTTGCCCGCGGCTCCACTCGCGTTAATTTATCGTCTTAGGGGTGGAATTTATCAAAATCCTTTCTTAGGATATGCCTACGTCATAGTAGCTTTATGCATGCAAAGTCTCAGCCCGATCGGTTTAAAATTGACAAAGTTTCATACAAACTTTCATCCCCTATTTTATCCCCTTGGGGGTAGAATTATTCAAAATCCTTTCTTAGCGGATGCCAACGTCATAACATCTACCTGCATGCCAAATTACAGCCCGATCCGTCCAGTGGTTTGGGCTGTGCGTTGATAGATCACTATGTCAGTCACCTTTGAGTTATATATTTAGATATATAACTTGATTATAAGTACCAACAACGTCATAAGTTACACACTTAAGTAATAGTATTTATGAAAGTACGGTGTTAAATATATTCCTTTTGCAATTACTGGTGTTATAAATAATAAATAACCCTGGACAATAAACACAGAGCCATCTAGTCCCAAGATAAGCAGAGCTTGTGTTGTGGGTACTAGACAGCTGATATGAAGACATATAAATCTGTTGTAATAGGATAAAACAATAAATAACAGCCGGATATAGAAATATTCATTTTTCATCATTACTATGTGCTTAGATCACTAGGTACAATGATGCAAACATACTTAAGCAAAGTACTTGTGCATTATAATAATAATAATAATCTCAAGACAATTCAGACAGCGCCATCTAGACCCGAGTTAAGCTACCTAAAGTTTGTGTTATGGGTACTACATAGACAACTGATAAAAATACATACCTAGATTTTTTTTGTAAATAAATATTATACATAGAAAACATCCAGACCGATACAAGCAATCATACTCATGAATACAAATGTTTGTACCGTGCGAGGAATCGAACCCGCTAGACCACCGAGGCCGTCAAAGTGTACATGAACATAAATTCTATTTTATCAAATTCGGTGTCATTTTGCAGAAACTTAATAGATTTATATTATTTTGTTTAATTCCACTACCATTGGCATGGGTGAGACCACAAATATTCAGGGCGGAAACCTAACCAGCGCTTCTGGAACCTTCTCTGTTGGTGATGAAATTGCAACCGTTTTATTAACCGAGCCATCATCGGCATTAAATAGAGCTCGAATATTTCATTCATTCATATTGTTCAAAATCTACCCTATACCATCGTAAGCACAGATATTATATTATATTAGAGTCCGTTAGTTTTCTGTTCCCGCGCGTTTCCTTCCCCTCCCTTACCTAGTACTGAACTGACCGTACAGCGGCCATGACGCGCGCGCATTGTGTTGTGAATTAAAATAAATTAGAACTGTGTTAACCTACTGTGAAACCTGTGAAGCTGGAAAGCTAGCGAAGATACCTTCGAGACCCTGAAGCCCAAGAAATCCGCAGAACCATAAAGGTAAATGACTGACGCTTCCCTAACATTTTGGTAGCAGAGTAGTTTCCCAAACACATATATATTTTGATTTTTTTTTTTTATTTTTATTTATTATTTTTTTGATTAAGTCGTTAATGTCCAGAAAACGTATTTCAATGTAACATGCAGGCGTCGAAACTACTTCCATTTCTCGAATATAATATAACAATACCAAAATAAATACTTTTTTAGTGCTACCTGGTGGCAAACAAGGATACGGCTCATCTGATAGTAAACGAATACAATCTACGGACGCCTGAAACACTAAGGTTCCTTAAGGTTTGGCAAGCGACTTGCGCTTGTCAATCCTTAAGAAACCTTAATATACCCTTCTTAAAAAAAGCTGTAATCTCTGTACATTTTTGGGTTATATATACCATAGTAAGTATGTATATCTTACCGATCCATTTCTAGTTCTGGACAGCAACGGTACCATCTCCCTCTCCACCGCTGCCACCCCCAGTAGTGGCGCGAATATCATCAGAGCCACTAGCCACAGTGCAGCGAGGAGGCTGCAGGCTCCTCGTCTGGATGGCATCCAGGGTTGCCTCAGAGACTGTGTGATAGCCAAGTATCGGTCTACCGACATGGCTGTGATGGTGAATACGCTGGAAGCTACTGCCACACCTGGAAGAAGAAGTTCAATCAATATATTTGTTACCGACATATTTTGATTTTAAGAGGACGTTATCCTTAGATCGATCCTCCGTCTAATTCAAATTGGGATCGAAATTACGACGACCTAAGCCGGGATTCAAACCCATAGCGGTGTTCTCAGACTATAGTTGCTGGCAGGAGTTGGCTATAAGTCCTTCCACGGATTTGGACCAGCATCTGTTGATTTTAAGACCTTATTGATCGATTCCATTTACGGTATGGGTTCCAGGGAGTCTTTGCATGAATGTTTTAAAGAATCAAATACCGTTGCTTCTCAATACATCTACGAAAATATTATGTATGCCAGGAAAAACATTAACTGTTTTAAAACAGTAGGTGATTACAATAATAAAAGCTTACGTAATTTCGAACGAAAATTTTACGAAAATTTTACGAAAATATCTAACTTAAAATTCATAGCGCTGACAATGTTATCTGATTGAACAGAGATTAAGTGCGTAGTGGTTTCTATGTTGCTTGTCGCATGCCTAATCCTTGTTGTTAATGAAATATAAGTAAATCAATATTTATTTAAAATAGCAACACACACGTTTCTTGACTATTCTCCTTGTGATGAATCTGCATTCCGAATAAACGGTAGAATAAAAAAACATGACTATTCAAAAGTGCTTATATTAAGTTTATTTGAATAAAGATTATTTCTATTTATAGATTCCCCGTCCAATTCAAATTGGGATCGAGATTACGAAGGCCTGAGCTGGGGTTCAAACCCCTAGCGGTGTCCTCAGACCATAATTGCCTGGCAGGAGTTGGCTATAAGTCCGTCCACGCATTTGGAGAGCAATTTGAACTCGCCCCTATAGTTCAGTAAAGCTGTAAAGGTCAACTGTGACCAAGAGCATTAGCATAGTTCAAAAAAAGGTCCGTTTACGATATGCAACCAAAAATTAGACGATTTGTATGGGAATTTCGATATTTTAAATATGTTTAATATGTATTCATGAGTATGATTGTATCGGTCTGGGTGTTTTCCATATAGATTATGTACTAGCTGTGCCGGCGACTTCAGCGTGGAATATAACTTTATATTTCTATTCTATTAATAAAAGTCGCCTAAGTAACTCCTTATTACATCAGTTACCTACCAAAAAAAGCCCCGTCAAAATCGGTCCAGAAGAACTGGCAAGAAACTCAATTAGATTACCTTTTTTTTTAAAAAGCCTGTTTATTTATTGGAAACTAGCTGCTGCCGCGACTTCGTCCGCGTGGAATTAA